CTCATTTAGCTTATTAAGGAAAACACTGGACAGGAACCCTAGGCTCCCCCTCTCTCACCAGGTGTAGACACTCACTACTTTGCCTCGGGGAAAGATATGTGAAATGCTTTGTTTTGTTTTTATGATTTTTTATTGGAAAGTCAGATTTACAGAGAAGCAGAGACAAAGATCTTCCATCCCCTGGTTCATTCAAGTGGCTGCAACAGCCAGACCTGAGCTGATCCGAAGCCAGGAGCCAGAAGCTTCTTCCTGGTCTTCCACATGGGTGCAAGGTCCCAAGGCTTTTTGCCATCCTCTACTAATTTCCCAGGCCACAGGCAGGGATCTAGATGGGAAGTGGTACTGCCAGGGTATGAACCAGTTCCCATATGGGATCCCAGCACGTGCAAGGTGAGGATTTAGTCACTAGGCTATTTCACCAGACCTAAAATGTTTTTTTTTTTTAAAAAAAATAGGCAGATTACTATGATGCATGAAATAGATTTTTGATGGTGAACGAGTTATATGAAGAATATTTAAGACAATAACTGGCACATGTAAAGCCTCAAGTAAGTGATAGTCATGATAGTGGCTCTGTAGTAAGGCATGGTTTTGTCACATTGTTCAGTCTGTTGCTTAGAATAACCTGTGACATATACCTATAACATTTCAAGTTACATTGTCTGCCACTTAGCTTCCATTTTCACTTTTCATAATCTTTGAGTGAGAATGGATGGATTGTCTGAAATCCTCCCTCCCAGAAGTCTTTTAGAAACAGAGGTTCTTGCTGTCCATGCTGTAGCTAACTTTGGAGTCAGTTCGCGCACTGCGTTTTGTTGCAGCCTCAGACGACTGTTGGCCTTTACAGTGACTGCGTAAGAAAGCTCAGCTTGGCTTTTGAATTACTCATTGGAATTTGGGATGTTTCTGTGAACTAAAGAGGGATATGCATTCACTTTCCATCCGTGTTTTCTTAATCCCCTCCCCAGATCCACTAGACTAGGCTTTTTGTTTATGAAGAGATTTAACAATAGATGAATATTTATTTCAAATGTGTGCCCACAGATGCCCTCCAGATATTTAGTGTCCCATTTCACAGTGTGGGTTCCGAGCGATAGACACAGAAATCACTGACGGGGGAGATTACATCTGACTATACAAATAGAGTACACATTTTATAAAATAATAAACCATCCACATTAATCACAAGAGTTAGACTCGAGAAAGGTCCCCTAAATTTTTCAGGTGGATTTAGGACTAAAGTACTTACTAGCATTTGATTCCAATTTTTTTTTTCAATATCCATGTTTAGAATAAATTCTTTTGCTTGTTGTCTAGGAAAGTGATTCCTAAGCTAAACAAGAGAATGTGTGGAATATGCACTTGTACGCATCCAACTAGAATTCTCTTACAGAGGAGCTGCCCAAGCAAAGGAGATGAAAGGCAAAACGAGGCAGCGCTTGTGCGCGACCTGAGCATGACTGTTTTACACAGAGTCGGTGCTAGTCATTCACTCAGTGGTGCCAGGACACGGTCGTGTCATGGATCCACCTTTGCACAGCAGCCTCCAGGATGGGTCCTCCAAGGCCTCCATCTCTCCGGAGTGTGCAGCCCAGTGCAGCCTTGTCCATCCCTGCTGAGGCATCCAAGACTCCCTGGAGAGCTTCCTCTGCTGTCGAGGCAAGGTCACAGGAGCAGTGTAACTACATGAGGGCTGGCTCGTGCAGATGTGCTAGCAGTGGCATCTGCATCGTCGGCCACTCCCAGTGCCATTCCACACTGTTCATACTCACCCAGCTCCCAGATGCACTTTTCCATAACCCCCATGTTATGCCTGGCGCAGGACTGTTCTCACCAGCTGGTTCCTTATACTAGTCAGTGTTCCTTTTCCACCTCTCATCTCATTTCTTTTACACTGTCTAATATCTATTCAATTATCTGTTCAAATAATTTATGCTGAAATGTTCATACGTGCCCCCCTTCCCTACGGGTACCATATTTGCATTTTAGTAGTGGCATGAAACAAGTGAAGAAACTCAAATTGTGACTACTCTTGAGAACCCTGAAATGCAGCAGCAGAGAGAGGCCTTTTAGAGACAGTGAGTCCGGGTTCTCACCCTCTATGCCCATAGGACATTGTACCAGTCCTGGGGTGGGGGACTACCTGCTGGGCTTCAGCTCCACTGCCCCCCTTACTGACCTGGGAAAGGCACTTAACTCCCTAGGCTTTAGTTTCTTCATCTGTAGAAATGGAGGTCATAATTACAGTAATTTCTAAGTGACTTAATATTTGAAAAGTGCTTCAGATGCTGCCTGACACATAATAAATACCATATAGTTGTTCTTAAAAGACTTAAATTGGAGTGGCTTTTATATTCATACAGAAAGAAAATTATCACATGGTTTATTCTAATTAGCAAGGGGGAAAGGCAGTGATCTTCCCACACGTGGTTTCTTAGGCTGCAATTCAAGTTTTTAACGTTTCTTCAATACTTACTCTTTTCCGTGTATTGTGCTAAATCGTCTACATATTTCAGTTCTTACAACAACCTTTGAGGTAAGCACTGTTATTATCTTATTTTACAAATGGGAAAACTAATGGTAAACGTAAGTAAATTTCTGAAGGTCCCAGAGTTAGTAAATGATGTAATACTTTATAGTCCATCTTGCTTCCCTAAGTAACTCATTGCAGGTGCCGTGTGCAGTCACAAGGTGTTATAATTCTCTATTTCATCAGGATGTAGCAGAGCAAATGAAGTGTGTCTCACTTGCTCCTCACTGCCTGGGCTGTTGGTCTTAGGCCATGATGTAGTCCATGGCTTTAAACAGCTTCATTCCTGCTTAGTGCTCGTAGATATTTGTGGCTCAGAATTATACAGACTCATTTGGAATCATTTCTGTTTTTACAAACTGGAGTTGGGGCTGGGGCTGGCGTGGTAGCCTAGTGCCTGAAGTCCTCACCTTACATACACCGGGATCCCATATGGGTACTGCTTCATATTGCGGTGCCTGCTTCCTATCCAGCTCCCTGCTTGTGGCCTGGGAAAGCAGCTGAGGATGGCCCCAAGCCTTGGGACCCTGTACCCATGTGGGAGATCCAGAGGAAACTCTTGGCTCCTGGCTTTGGATTAGCTCAGCACCAACCGTTGGCAGCCACTTGAGGAGTGAATCAGTGAACAGAAGATCTTCCTGTTTCTCCTCCTCTCTGTATATCTGACTTTACAATTAAAAAAAAAAATCTTCTAAGGTGGGGGTTGCGCGGTGAGCAATATTTTCCTAACTGCTCTCGTGTGTGAGGGATAAATGCTGACTTTGTAGAATCGTAGCTGACAGCTGGGACACTGGGTAGGCTCCATGATGGTTCTTCCTGGTTTTTCATGGTGTTTGCTGTGACAGTGAAAGCCAATGCAGAGCTAGATGCCACAGTAAGGCTTGCCAGACAGCAAAGAAAATGCCTGCGGACATGGGGTTTTCGTTTGACCTTGAATTAACCTGTCTCCTGTTATGTATGACTTGTGAGATTCCTCTGGTACACACTCAGAACTTCGAATCTCAGCAGACGTGAGCAAACCATCTTCAATCCCTTCGACAGTAAGCAGCATCTGCTGCTACATACCTTTCATGTGGCAAATTAGAGCTATCTGACACCTCCTGTGAATGACAGTGTCAGCCTGTTAGATTTCTCCTGTAGGAGCTGAGATCTCTAATACACAGGCTTATGTTGGCTGGTTGGCTGGTTCACAGGGAGTTTTGTTTATGAAGAAAGTGGGAACAATTTGTGGGTCTCCTGGAGTGTTTGACTCAGGGCCGGGAAACACTAGGCTTCTGAATGAAGAGTAAGGAAGAGGGTAAGGAGGAGGGAGGGAGGGAGAGAGAGAGGGATGGAGGAAGGTAGGTAGGTGGCGTGGGTAGGAAGGAAGCTTTGTATCTGCGTTATCTCCAAATTACATTGTCACCTTCCCAGCCCAGGGACCATAACTTTCATTATCTCCTTTGGTACATATTAGAATGTTAGGCAGTGAGCATGCGTGCAGTGAATGTTTATTGCCTGAAGAACCAACATTTTATTTAATTTATAGATTGTGCCAAAAACACATTTCTATTCACTTGAACTTAATGTGGCCCAAAGGAAGTAGCATTTTCTGTAAACTTTATTGACATTGAAATTGGAGGGCTTTCTAAATTGCATTTCCCTTACGGAACCATAAACCTCATTTGAGAGGGCAAATCTCTGAATTGGTGATGAAGTGAGCAAAGTGATGACAACACAAGATACATGTAGTTCCAACTTGTGGATAGTGCCCTGAAGAAAGTACTACCAATAAAACCTATGCATGACTCGAATAGTGCAATGAGTAGAAATTGATTTCTGGTACGAGTTAAGAACATTTGGCCCACTGACTAGGACTGGAAATTGTATGCTGCTTTGCCGTTGTACCTCTGTCCAAAAATCAATTGTCTCTAGGTCTGTGGGTCTGTTTCTGATTTCTCTCTCTGCACTGAACAGTTGGGCTCCGTATCTTTTCACCATGATAATGTGTATTGATAACTATAGCTTTATAGTAAGGTTTTAATTCACATCAAGTAAGTCCTTAAACCTTATGTGTCTTTCTTAAATTTATTTGGATTACATCGAATCTTCACACCTCTCTATACATTTTAGAATCAGCTTGTCTAGTTCTGTAAGGACACCAGCTAACATGTTGATTGGCAGTGCATCTTCTCTGGTGTAGCTAGTCAAAATACTTAGCCTATCCTCTGTGAATTCTTTCAACCTAGACTAAGTATTTTTTTCTCTTTAAATGGAAATATATGTGGTACTTTAAAAACTAGTATGTGGTGTGTCCCATATGCAGATGTCCTCATGGGTGATTTTTACTTATCCCAGAAAATATAGTAAGCACTAGTATATCACAAGTATTCTAACCTTGTTGCAAACACACTGCAAAGTGTGGACAGGACAACTGTGAAGACTTCCGGTTTGTTGTAACCAGTGTTTTCCATGTCTTATCGTGACCTAGGGACCTTGCAGCAAGAAACTGCCTGGTTGGTGAAAATAACATCCTGAAAATCAGTGACTTTGGAATGTCTCGGCAAGAGGATGGGGGCGTCTATTCGTCTTCCGGCTTAAAGCAGATTCCCATCAAGTGGACAGCTCCAGAAGCTCTTAATTATGGTAAGAATGGGTCATTGTTTTTTCAGGGATGAAAATGGATGCATCAACACAGGCCGTTCGCAGGCAATATTACAGTAATGCAAATAAGGTAGAAACGTTCAGACTGGGTACTTAGGCATGAGCACAAACTTGATTCATTAGAGTTAATGGTCAACTATGCAAGATATTGCTATGAACACTTATTATAGCACCCTTCCATTTATCCAAAGATAGGATTCGTTTTAAGAGTCAAATAACACATAGGGATAAAAGATACTGGAGCTCTGGGTCATTTCTTTTGAATGTCTTATAACTGGTTCAATAACCTCATCTGATGATATCATCCTGAAACATTAAGTCAGTCGGTTCTATTGCTTCTCACTCTGACATCGACATAGTTTTCTTTAGCATGCCAGTTGCCAGAACATGTGTAAATCTTGAGGGAAGAAGGAGATGAGTGTTACATTTTGAAACAGCAGGATTTTTTCACTTGAGTATTTATGTGTCACTGTAATTGAAAATAAGTACAACTTGCATTGCAGTTGGGATGAAATGGGCCATATCAGGATGAGTAAAATAATTTAAGAAGCGGAAAGATTTGTGAGTGGGAAAAGGCCAGAATATATATCACTGCGATTGGAAATTATATTTTCATTAAGGGAGGCAGTATATGGGCCATGATTTATGTTTGGGTGTGGAATGGTATCAGAAACATCATAAAATGATTATGTGATTTAAGAAATGACAACTTCTTAAAAGATAATGTGTGACTTTTAAAACTGCCTTAATTTAAGCCTAAATAAAAGGCAGACAGATATTTTTTATAAATTGAGTTATAATTCATTTAACATAAAATTAGTCATTTTAAAATGAACAATTCAGTGCTGCTTATACAGTGTTATATTATGCAACCAGTATCACTATCTAGTTACAAATCATTGTCATTATTCCAAACTAAATCTTGTACCCATGGAGCATTGCCCTTCATTTCTCTCAGCCCCAAGCAACTGCCAATCTGTTTCTTGCTTTGTATGGGTATCCTTATCCCCAATATTTCATATAAGTGAATCATACAAATATAACTTTTTGTTTCTTCTTTCACTTAACGTGATGTTTTTGAGCTTCATCTATATTGAAGCATGTGTCAGTACTTCATTCCCTTCTAGGACTGCATAATCTCCATTGTATGGTTATACTGCACTTCAATATGTTGATATCTATTTGGGCAGTTTTCACTTCGAGGCTATTCTGAATAGTAATACCCTAGTGGATAAGTGTTTATTGAGTACCTGTGTTTTCAATGATTTGGGTCTATGCTCCTGTTGGGTTACAAGACTGTGCTTTGCTTACCTGTTTGGGGAATGAGTAACTGTTTGGGATGTGATTGGATCAGGCAGGGCTGAGCCTGGTACCACAGATACTAATCCTCACGCTTAGTTGTTTGTCTTTCCATTTGCCAGCAAGGCTTTCAAGTGAGTTAGACCAATTCCTCAGAATCAAGAGAAGGGGTCAATATAGTGGGACAAAGAGTTAAGCTACCGTGTGTGACAACAGCGTTCCATGTCGGAGCGCTGATTCAAGTCCCAGCTGCTCTGCTTCCCTTCCAGCTTCCTGCTAATCCAGTTTGGGATGACAGCAGCAGATGGCCCAAGTGTTTAGACCCCTGCCCCACATGTGGGTTACTAGGGTAGACTTCTTGGCCCCTGGCCTCAGCCTAGCCCAAACCTTGCCGTTGTGATCATTTCATGGAATGAACCAGCAGATGAAAATGACCCTTCTCTGTGTCCCTCTTTCTCTCTCTGTCACTTTATTTCTCAATCAAATAATTATATCTTTACCAATCTTTACCAAAAGGAATCCAGAGAAAATGACAACCCTACTTTGCTCCACCATTACCTTATTATAGAGTGAGTCTGGAGTAGTAGTGATTATGACTTAGCTGAATAAACCTAAGATGAAAGGATTTTAACAATTGTTAAAAGTTAAGGAGGTTTTCTTTCTTTTACGATTTATTTGTTTTTATTGCAAAGGCAGATCAGATTTACAGAGAGAAGGAGAGACAGAGAAATCTTCCCTCCACTGGTTCACACCGGCAGTGTCTGCAGTGGCCAGAACTGAGCTGATCCAAAGCCGGGAGCCAGGAATTTCTTCTGGGTCTCCCATGTAGGTGCAGATCCCAAGGCTTTGGCTCATCCTCTACTGCTTTCCCACGGCACAAGCAGCAAACTGGATGAGAAGTGGAGCAGCTAGGACAAGAATCAACACCGATATGGGATCCTGAAACTTGCCAAGTTTAGAATGTAGCCATTGAGCTATCTCACTTGGCCCTAACAAGGTTTTCTTTAAAGGATTAAATTATTTATAAACACCAAGGGAGCTGTAACTAGATTTGAGAAGCCCTTGAGTCTTAGCAGTACAGTCCAGTTCTCTGGAATCTGTTCTCAACTCTATTGGCCATTTCCTCTATATGTAATAACCTTTGAAAGTTTCTTTACTGTGGGGCCAGTGGAATGGCACAGGAGACTAATCCTCCACTCTGTGGCACCAATGTCTCATATGGGCACAGGTTCATGTCCCAGCTGCATCGTTTCTGATTGAGCTCTCTGTGTATGGTCTGGGGAAGCAACGGAGGATGACTCAAGTCTTTGGGACCCTGCATCCACTAGGGAAACCCAAAAGAAGCTCCTGACTCCCAGCTTTGGATCAGTTCAGCTCTGGCTGTTGCAACCAATTAGGAAGTGAACTAACAGACCAAAGACTCCTATCTCTGCTCTCTGTAAAATCTGCCTTTCAAATAAAAATTTTTAAATCTTTTTAAAAAAACTGAAACAATTGTACCAAAAAAAGTTCTGCTTCTTCATCGATTTGTATTTCTGAAATATGTGATCCTTGCAGCCTGTTCGTGTTCATTGCTACCTCGGCAGTCATAGCTGTCACCCAAGGGCAAACAGATCTCCAACTAGCAAGCTCCTTATTTACCAATTACAAAAAAGACGTATTTCCACTGACACATGCTTATTCTGTGTCCTCTAATGCAATTAGTGCTTCCACTTAGGATGCTGTGAAATGCTAGGGAGGTACGATTTTTGGTAATGAGACTCTTGGATTGTCCATCAGTACCAGGCTTCCCTAGCAGTTATGTAACTGGCTGCAGGCTATGCTCTCTCTGCCTATGTTTCCTCATTCGTAAGATGAAAATTGTAATACCTTCTCCCAGCAAGGTTATTATAAGGAGGATCATATGAGAGATGGAAAAATGGCAAGACACAGTACAATCGTGTTACTCTCGGTCAAGGTTACAGAGTTAACGTATATGCTTTCACTTTCCAAATGCAATTTTTTTTCTAATGACTTTCTTCATCTTCGCCCAGCTAGGGTCTCAAAAATTAAGACATTTGACTCTGTCATTTATATATATAAAGAATATATATATATATATATATTTATAAAGAATAATTTGTAACTAGTACTTCTTGAAAGACTTTCATGAAAAGTTTTAAATTATTGGATGTCAGACGTGAAAGGAGTTGATATGCAGACAAGAAAGCTAATCTTCCTTCCACAGAGCACAGTGAAGGTCCCTAGTTACTGTCTACAAAGGAGAAAGTTAATTCACGCTTCCGGAGCTGACAGTACATTCCACACCCCAAGCAGTTACTGTGGCACAGGCAAGCTCTCGAGAGAGAAGACCATCCTGTTTTCATGGAATATGACCTTTTGGTAGAGGGGCGTTTGAAAGTCTCAGAGTGGCACAGTTCGTGTAGACAAGAAGAATAGAAAATGAAATCACGTTACAAATCTTTAACCCTTGGTGACGACAGTGCATACAGTACATGTATATCCCACGTGGAAATTTAAATAAAAATTTAAATAAAAATACAAATGTGTTGGGAAAAGTCTTAAAATTCAAGCCCTTGGTGCCTGGAGAGGACTTTTCTGCTTCCGCTGTGTAATCTCACACCCTCATCCAGAAGTTAATTTATGGGGAGGTTTTAATCTCTTTGTGTCTCTAGAAAAATCCGAAGAACCTATTCACATAGCTCAGTGAGAGGTGCACCAAGATACGTTGACAAAACGAAGCACCATGTAATTTAAAGATGCTCTTTTTATCAGCCAGCCATGTTAATTTCCACTCTAGTTTTAAAAAATCAAAAAAAATGTGTTCCATAAATGAAACTATCAGTGGGGAAAATGAGATCCTTAAGCACTAAGAATATCTATAAACAGTGATAAGTAAAAAATTGAAGCTAAGAAACTTTCCTTATTGCTTTAAGTTTGTTTGTAATTTTAGTGGAAAGAAAATGGTGCAGGCAGAAGACAAAATTGCAAGAATCCAACTATTTAATCTCCAAGCCATTGATGTGTACAAAATGTGTATCTTCTTTATACAAGCCATCCATATTACTCAGATAGTGCAAGGAAAGTAAGCTGGATTTTCATTGATGGCAGGAAAAGGAGGGGAGCAGTTTGGTGGCTGGTTTGATTAAACTAGTGGTCTGAAGACTGTTCATCTCATTAGTAATATTAAAATTCATCCTGGAATGTCTGACTAGACTCAAACTGAATGTCTGAGTAGCATTACTGGCTCTTGGAGTCCTTTGGTCTAACATGGCTGACACGGGCCTATATAACCACAGAAGGACACTGCTGGTCCACTGGGACTCACCTGCATATGATTGTTGCCCCCCCCAACCCCAGGGAGATACAGTTCTGAGAGTGACGTGTGGAGCTTTGGCATCCTGCTGTGGGAGACGTTCAGCTTAGGAGTCTGTCCCTACCCTGGAATGACCAATCAACAAGCACGAGAACAAGTCGAAAGAGGTGAGCCACAGGTGTGGGGGTGCGGACACGGTTCAGCGGTACTGTTTGGGTGCAGGAGTGGAAAGCAGGGCTGTGAGTGAGCTGCTTGTGAACCACCTGCCACAGGGATGCTGGGCTGCCTATCTGCACTTGAAAGGATTCCCACATTAGACAAGAGACAGCTCCCAGCTTCCCTTCCTGCTTGACACCTGTAGGGCTTTGCCGGCCACAGTCTTCAGAGATGTAGTTTTGGTGCCTCTCCCACTTCCGGTGTTTATTCTGTGCCAGACAGTCCCCCCTATCCCTAGTAATTCTGCAGATGGAATTAAGTTGGTCTTCAGGAAGACATTCTAGAGAGTTTGGGAACGCTGCTGAAAAAGCCTGTCATGTTGCCAAGTCAGCACCAGGGGTAACTGCATGATGGTGTCACACGGTCCGTACTTCTGATTGTGTAGAGGTGATTTTTGCAAAAACTCTTCCCACAGCATTTAATTCTAAAATAGGCAACATTTCTATGTTATAGATGTTGCACACATATAAACAAAGAATAAACAACAACAAAAAAAATGTCTTCTTGGAACTATACCGAAAGCGTATAGCTCTAAGGTGTCAAGTTCTGTGCCACCTGTAGAAAACAAAAAGACAGACATCAGTGTTTCCTAAAACAGATGTGTTTCCTCCATTACACCAACAAGATAAGATACCAGCACTTAGACACTGCACAGCGCCATGTGTGAACATCTGGGTCTGACCTCTAGTCTCAATTCTCTGTTCTCCTCTTGGGTCTGCAGGATATCGCATGTCAGCCCCCCAGCACTGTCCAGAAGACATCGCCAAAATCATGATGAAGTGTTGGGATTATAAGCCCGAGAACCGCCCTAAATTCAGTGAACTTCAGAAAGAGCTCACCATCATCAAGAAGAAGATCACATAGGGACGGGCCAGGCCCCGCTCGGCCTCCAGGAGCCGGTCCTCCCCAGGGGAGCGCTGTGGTTCACCTTAACAATCAGCTGATCCCGTGTCCCCTGCAGCCAGCTTCTAAGGTCACTGTCTTTTATTAACTAGATTTCTAAAAATACGTTCCACTCTAAACAATGTCAGAAGCAAATCTGTTCCAGAAGCAGCACTCCTGCCAAGGGCTTTGTTAGCTAGCCACCGCCAGACTGCCACTTGAGGCCACTGTAAACAGAGCACAGGCTCTGGGCGTGGGGAGGACGCGAGGTCCACCTTTGCACACCCAGGTCACCTTGCGCCTCTCAGCGGAGTTCTACTTTGGGCACAGTTTGTGGGCCACCAGGCTCCACCACAGACCCTCCTTGGTTGGTGCTATAAGCCGCATTGGGCCTGCCTGGTTTGCTGGATGTGGTCCCACCACATCCTAGTCTGGCCTCCTAGTCTGCCAAAGCAAGATTCTCTCTGTAAGCGTAATATTGGGAATTATTTGGACCTCCTAGAGGTTTTCTTTGTTTTCCCGCCAGAAATAGAAGCCCGGTATGAAACTCCCCATGCTCCCATATCCTTAGTAAGATTGTCTTCCCTCTCTTTGTTGCCTGGGCATCAAAACCCAGGGTGGCAAATGGCCACAGCTGCTCGGCCAAGTGGCACAGAGTGCAGGGATGGCAGGTGGCAAGCCGGCGCGGCGGGCACTGTGCAGAGCGGGGCAGTGCTGCATCGGGAGTGGGGTGGGGTGGTGTGGGGGAGCCAGTGAAGAAGGAAGGCGTGTCAAGACCTGCCTTCTCATCACATTGACGCCCATATAAACACACATATCCCCACATCCTTTTAGTTTTTGCCTGAACTCACAACATCCGGCTCCTAGGAACTGTTTCAGGAGCTCACAGATGGGAGACACTACAGAGCACACATGCGCAGAAGCACCAGCAGCCTTCTGCTTCAGTTGCTTCACCCCAGAGCAGCCACCCCAGAATGTAAGTGCCATTATTTGTACTGGTTTCTGAAGCTGTCAGAACTCTTCCTGGTTCCAAACACAGACACGTGTGCACACACGCAGGTATGCACACACTCCCGAGTGGCGGGGAAGGTGTATGCATAGCAAGCTGATGGGTTGGAAGCCAAGTGAGTTTTAGGGGGTGCAAGATACACACAGCCCTCCTCTTCCCCACCCTGCCCGGCCTCTTCCTTTGTCCCTGACTGCCCCTGGGATCCCTCCTGGCTTTCAGATGTGAGGGTAGTGCCCTCAATGGTCCATGTGGCTCAAATACAGCCCAGGGTTCAGACAAGGCTTCTGCTGGGCTCTGGGGGACTATCCCATGGAGTGGGTACAGGGGCCTGTCAGCGCTGGCATTAGTCATGGCAGGAGGAACTGTGGCTTACACTTCTGCCCTTTGTAAGTGCTCAGGTCTGTGTCTCAATATGCAACACTGTAGTGATGATTTAGTCCATGTTTTGGGAAAGAGCTTCCCCCTCTAGTTGTTTACTACCCACGAATGTCACTGTTCAGAACTCATACCAGTGCTAAACAACATAAAGGATGAAAAAGGGAAAAGCAGCGTGGGTCTGTCAGTCAGTCTCCTTGCACATTGAGTGATTCATGCGCTTAGAACAAAATGAAAGTATGATCAAGTTTCCCTTAAACGTAAATTGGGATATACAAGGCAGCTCTATGTTATGCAATGTGGTTTCCCCTTAGTTCAGATCTTATGACTAAATGGACCTTTCTTTGGATAGCATGTACCATGGTTGATCAATGCTCAGACTCTTAAGTTCAGTGTTCTTCAGGTACCTACCAATCTTCAGAAGTACAATACGATGGGCCATTTGCACCGCTTTGGGAATTCCCAAGTGAGGCTGTTTGTAATATTCTTTGTTTAAAGAAAACAGCACTCCGTCCCTTAGCAGCCTCGGTGCTAAGCTCTCAGCGAGGAGAGGAAATGATGGGTTTGGCTTTAATTTTATGAACAAGACCTGAAGCTTAATCCTTGCATTCTGGCATAAAGAATGAACATGGCATTGATATTTCACTCATCCAGGCTGTTAGAATTTGCAATTCACATCTTAACTCTGTGCTTAAATTAAAAAGCTTTGCAAAACATCATGACATCTGCAGCATTTAAATTCTGCTTTATTCTTTGTCCCAAAGCAGGCAGTAGTACAGTTCAAGATTAATATCTCATTGCAAGTCTTCCGAGATCATATCAGTTGTATGGAATATTAAATTTCATACAGGCACATGCATTAAGAAAAGCTTCTGCAAACCATTTTTTACTGTTAATTTTGTTGTGCATGGAGCATAATTTATTCATCCCTTCTGTCACTGATAATTATTGGAATTATGTACTTAGGAAGTTAATCCACACCCAGAAAGCACACACATAAAGACCATTCTGCATTCCCAAGTTTGTGTAGGGAAAGGAGCTCTCCCAAATGCAGGAAACCTGGAGGTTTGTTTAGGAAAAAAAAAAAAAAACATTTGTAGCCACGATTGTCACTGTTCTGGATTTGACTGAGTCTGGTTGCAAATCCTTGTACTAGTAACACATCCTCCAAGAGCTGTACCACCACATAGCTGTTCTCAAAAGTTCTTACGTGTGTTTGTCAGGCAGGTGGGTAGGGAGCAGTCAGAGCAGGCCAGTTGTCACAGCAGTGTTTCTACCTTGAATCACCGAAAAGCCTTCCTTTCTCAGAAATCTTTAGGAAGCACATTATTTCTCAAGACATTTGTTGTTGCCACGTTGTCCTGTGTTCCTCACGTGTGGGACCTAAAGTTAACTTCTGTACTGTGTCGTTTCTTCCCAAAGCTAAATAGTGTGCAATGCATTCACAAGTTTTGTTTAACATTTAATAAGGGGGGGGGGGATTTGTTTCCAACTACCCTGCTATCAGAGCCCTCGTGAAAAGTCTTGTATTGTTTCCTCTTTAATCTTCTCTCCCTTGAATATGGGCAGCACAATTCACTTCATTTTCACCTAATAGCTTTTATTTTTAAGTCTGATCAGTGCCACTGAAATAATAAGGGCTTCACAATCCTGGTATCAGGTGGTATCAAGAAGAACGTGGTTGAGTTCTGTGGTGTAAGGAGTCTTCAGGAAGTCCACAGAAAATGGAATTAATAGTACAGTGATTCTGGCGCAAAACATTTCAAAATCCATGCATCGTTTATGCAGAGTGCGCATTTTTTTTTTTGCAAACTTTGTGAAGACTCCTTGTATAGGCCATACCCCAAGGACCCTACAGCTGGATGAGCAGAAGTTAGAACGCAACAATACCCACCAACTCACATACCACCGCAGCTCATTTTGTTCGGTCACATGGGAGTTAGCTCCTGAACATGATACACCCGAAGAATACGCTTGACCTAGTCCATACTGTGTGTGCTGCTATGTGGCATCCTCTGAAGGTGTCACTGATAGCTGCTGGAAAGGGATTCTTGACCTCCGCTTCTTTCCCCACGCCTCCCCAGGTCGCAGCACACCTGGTGAGTCTTGGAAGGACTGGCTTTCCCATCAAAAGGCCAGGGCCCTCTCATGAGACACAGCCCTGCAAAAACGGAATCGAAGATTCCACATGAAAGGAAGTATCAGATACACTGCTCTTATACCATTAAGCCAGCATGAAAGCTTGCCACTAAAATAAAGTGTTACCTCTTTTATGAATAACTGATTTTTTATACCTATCCAAGTCATTTTACTCAGTATTTTAATCTTAGTTCTTTCTTCTGATTCAGTCAGTTTCATGTCAGTTCTGAATACAGTTTTAGTTGGGAGCATTCACAGTTGCATATTTGTCTCAGCAAAGGAAGATACTCTGAAGTCAGGATTTCATATACCAAGATTCTCCTTCAAAGCTTAATGTTGTGCTGCAGAAACTGTACAACTCTGCACCTTAGCCACCATTCTTGTGGAAATACTTTGTAATCCTTAGAGACCACTGGCTGCCTTTCTGTCCTGTTATGTGTAGCCATTTAGAATTGCTTTGCTCCTTAAGAGGGTCTGAGATTCCTGGGTGGCAGAGAGACCCTGCCCTGCTGAGGATTTTTTTTTTTTTTTTGCCACTCTGGGCTGCGTGGAAAGCCTGAGCCTGGCTTCTCAGCCTCTGCTGGGATGGGACAGACACAAAAGGTCCTAGAGGGGAAAAGTCAGGCTTTCCAAGGCAAGAGGAGACAGCTATGCAAACAGGCTGGAAAAAGCAAAGGGGAACACAGACTTGACCAATGTCACCAGGAAGGCAATGGGAGACAATGCTATGAGGCCAGGAAACTTAAAATGATCAGAGAGGATGCTAAAGAACCACTGGCAGTGGGTAGGCACTCCCTAGAGCAAACCCAGCTCCTCTCCCTGCTGTCCCACAGCTGCAACCCCCAGCTCAGCTGCAGTGCTGAGCGACCCTAAGGGATTTGCTTGGCTTTGTTCCCTCTTCCAAGGAGATCAGCCTGAGTCTTTGTACGTGTGTATTAGCGATAGTTTATGCTTCTCAGGTTGCTCAGATTTTACTGGAAATATTTGGCCATACCAGAGTGTAACTGCAGCTGAAGCCTCCCAAGTGAGAGCACTTGCAGATCAGCCCCACTTCCCTTTTCACTGGGGCTCACTGAGGGCTTCCCTGAGCACCACCCAGGGAAAATAGCAGATCCTGGTCAAATCCCAGGCAGGGAGCAGAGGTTCTTGTTGGTTCTATAGCCATGGAGGGAACATAGTCCTGGGAACATCCAGAAGCCAGCCAGTGTGCAGCGTGGCTGACAGAGATGATGAGCAAGTGTGGTTGCCACAAGGCAGGTGGTAAAAACGTCCCACAACACACTGCATCCAAGACTAACCTTCCAGCCAACATACACAGCGTAAGTTAGGGAGGACAATACTCCAAGAGGCTGTGAGGGGCTTCCTCCTGCCTGTCACTGCCACTCCTACACACTGTTCAGGCCCTGCAGCACTCTGTTTAGGAAGGTTAGCCTTGGATATTAGTTTGGCTTTCTGTGTAAACCCAATGGCATCTCCAGGGCAGCCATTGTTGCATGAGAATCACGCCAACTTGGTTTTCCTGGAAACCTGTAGATATGAGGTTGGTTTAGTCTGTTACCCACAAGCAGTGGAAGCATGCAGAGATCTGTGGTAGCCAGGATGGCAGGGAAATTACCAGGAGAGTTCCACTGTTGCATTTTGTTAGAGAAAACACGCCTTGCAGGTGTCTATACTTATAACACAAGGACAAACCCATCTTCCCTCCTTGCCAGAAAACTTTTCAGAATCCCAACACAAGAATATTTGGATTCACTGCAAAGATATTCAAACCCTGAATTTCTAAACTATTTCCCAGGCATTCCCATGGAAGCCAGCAAGATGCAGCTGTTGTACAAAGTAATAAACTGCCCTGAGTGACAGTAACAGTTCTGGCAGTTGTATTGGTTGAAGAAGCTTCACTTGAAAACTTATAACATCAGACACAGCGGATGTTGCCAGGCACTATTTTCTGGTCTTTGCTTTTGACTTCTGGTTAGTGTTTTCCTTTTTTCATCTCCAGTCTTGTCATTTTTTGCTTTACTAAGATAGAAAAGCCTTTATCACCAGTTTCTGTTGAGCGATACCACAAGTGGCCTCCACCAGAGGTCCCCAGCCTTAACAGGGACCTAGCTTAGCAAGCCGGCCATACCCCTAGAAAAGGCGAGGCCATGCAGGGACAGGATTATGCTGGCCGGCCATAGTCCTCGCTTAGAGACAAGGTGAGTGGGTGGTGGGTGTGCTGTGAGCCGCACTGCCAGTAAAGGCTCTTAGGAGATTTTCTGCAGACAGCAAGATCACTGATGCCTATGGTGCCCACTGAAGCCAGCCCGTGCACCTGCCCAGCTAACAGATAGGGTGAACTCCTCAGCAGAGCACTGACAAAACGCAACAGGCTTTGAGCCTTAACCCCCTCCATTGACTCAGCTCTTCCATCTCATCATTCTTTGCCAATGCCCTTCGTTTTTTTTTTTTTCATGTGCCACTCATCAACATGTGCCGCAAACTGTTTCAGTTGGTCAGTGGTAAAGGGCTCTTCCATGACCTCAGCAAAGGAAGCAATATGAAGGCTTCAGAGCACAACCAGCCAGCCTGCCTAGAGATTCACACCCCAAGTGCCCTTGTCTGAAAGCATCAGCTCTGCCCTTAGAACTGACAAAGCAGTGCCCTTGCCAGAATGCCAACCATCACATTGTACTTGCATTGTACTTCCTGGGAACATGCTTAGGATCGGGGTAAGTGCATTCTAAATTTAATAGCAAGACACCTGTTTCTGAATTGTAGCCATGAAAGCAAGCCACAGAAACACCACTGGACCCTTTGTTGTCAAGTTAAGACACCCTTGCGATTCATCAGCTCAACATGTCACAGCTGGTTGTGAAAGCACAGGGTTTGTATCAACAGGACTTGCCAAGGGTCTGAACAACAGGATGAATGTAAGGTGGCCACAAGAAAAGAAATCTCAATTCCCAAGGTAGAGCAGCAAAAACCATGAATAGGAAAAGAAATTACATATGAGCCCAAACTCCCATTATTAATATTTCCTTCATGTAGCTCTTGTCAAATAATACAACCTTGGGGTCTTCATGTGAGTTGCCAGAACAATCTTTATAAATCAAACAACAAAATTCCTTTCCCCAGTGGGGCCTCAGTTCTCTAACAGTCCTGTATTCAATACCTTAGGAGCTGCAAACGTGTCTGGAATCCATTATTAATGAGCTCATCATTTAAAGCACCAACCCTGCCAGCTCACCAGCACATGGCTTTTCTTTATTTTTAAACCCAGCTGGAATAAAAAACCCCAAAACCACCCCCTTCCATGGGAATTCACTGACAAATCATTTGACTTGGTAGAAAGAAACAGGCCTGCCTGCTCTTCAGATATGCCAGGTTGCTGTGAACAAGTGCAGAGGGCACGGTGCCCAGAACCACATTCAGCCTGACTTTGCTTTTACTCACCCCAAGGACAGCCACTCTTGTATTTAGACGGTGGGATGCCATGGAGGCCCGCCCCCTGCCAGTTTGAATTGCTTTGCTGCAGCTGAAATCAAAGGACCAATTCTGACAGAAAACATTCCTGTTCTGCTCCCTCCTTGGAGTTTTATGCCTTCCACTGGGCTTTGGTTTCAGTGCCCAAGAATTCGTTTCACAAGGTTCGCCTAGTCTCCCATAACCAGTGTTATCTAATAATTGGATGAATTGAAACCCAGTGGCACATACAGATCCAAGTCTCCAGGCCAAATCAAACAGAAAAGGAAACTGGCCGGGGGAGGGAGAAGGACAAGGACATGAGACTTGCTTCATGTGCTTCGCCTCTACAGAAAACCAGCAGCTAATCCCCTCCTGTGACCTAGTGCTACTCCACGTGAGTCAGGCACATCCTGTTCATGGAACCCTGAGGTTTCTCCTGGTCAGACATATATCAGTTTTATCTTTGTGCCTAAATATACGCTAAGTCAGGAGGCCTAATCGGGCAGTTCAGTGTGGTGCGGGTTGGTGGTGGTGTGAGTTCTGCCAAATGTACATCACGATTTACATATCTGGGATTCTTGATTTAGTCCGGTTTCTTGGGGTGATCACCATGAGAAATCAAAACCCCAAAGTCATGGTCACACAACTATGTAAGTTTAGGGAGAGCCAGCCAAATACAAGAGAAGAACACCGAGTTTGAGTCCTAACAAGGTCCCTGACTTCATCGGGAGGTAACTGGAAGCAAGGATTAAAACATACAGTGGCACCCTTGCCACCTGACCTGGCACAGCCCCATGGCGTAGCTGTGTAAATGGACACTCCTAGGTTTTTGCTCTCCCTTTAAATAGAAGATGTGTAACTGTGTCCCAGGTCAAGGGCTGGGTCAGGCACCTGTGACTTGATGCCCAGTGCCCCATAGGCAAGCAGCATTTTTCACTCCTGTGGTTTACAAAGGTTTCTTTAAGTGCAAACGTGTGGTCATTTTAATGTCAGACTAAAGCACCTTGGATCTTCTTCTATTGTTTTAAAATAATATATGTGTGAAGTGGATACAAGAAACACTGGAAATAGGGTGCTTCTTCTGGAACATTTAAGTGTAAAATGTGCAAACCAGGCCCTGGCGGGGGAGGGGAGCATCAGGCTTTTGTAAACGCGCTTCTGAAAATGGATGAACGCTCCATCGAGCAAGCAGTTGCTCATCCTATAGTCTTGTATCATTTTAACACGATCTGTATTTAACACTTATTTATTTGTTAGTTTTTATATTCAGAAGAAGCTCACTTTGGACTTTGGCTAACATTGTAGAGTGTCTGTTTCTGAGAGTTTTTAAATGATTCTGTCATTTTTGTACACTCCGACCATTTCTGGGTCGCCGCCTCCTCTCCAACAGAGCAGTTTCCATGCGTGGGTCTGCGGAACCTCTTTTTACTGTATTCTTGTAATAAATGTCAAATATTTGTAGCAACCTGTGTCTGGTCTTGCTTAATCGTGTCACAGTTATGCTTCTCTTTTCCATTTACATCTCTCTGAAAGGAAGAAAAGGCAGATGAGAATTCCCCTGGACAGGGGTGACAGCAGTGCCTAGAACTGTGGGCTCGGGGTCCCCCTGGAACTAAGCTCTTGGGGGAGATTGCTTAGTGTCCAGCCACCGCTTCCTGTTTAGAAATCAAGACTAAATCAAGACTAAATCAAGACATTGGCTAAGTCGTTGTGTTTTGGCTGCTTGCCAGGTTTTTATTCTGACTTGATTTGGTTCTGAGTTTTTGATTTGCTTGTTTGTTTGTTTGTTTTGGTGTCCATAACAGAATTTGTTTAGCTCTTACACAGGGATCTGATGGGGAATGATGGGCTGGTGAAGAAGGGAGATGGGGGGCCCCCGTGAACCTGCTACCGCAACACAGTGTAGGTGCGACCAGCCGAGCTGCTCATGGGGCTGACACAACAAGCCCACACAGGCCTGCCTGGCGGTGGCCATGACCATGGCTGCCTGGGTCCTCAGCAGCCTCACCAGGGCTGGGAAGGGCTCCCTTCCTATGCAGCTCCTGCTTGTCTGGGTGCGTTGAGCCAGTGCTTTCAGGCACTAATTCACAGCAAGTGCCACTGTCACCCGGGACAATAGGGTGTGAGCCTGGGACCCACACAGCAGCTGCAGCCCCACTGGCCCGGAGCGGGAGAGATCTCTATAGGCCAAGTTGGACGATGGTGCAGGCACACGATACTGACATTAGAGGTGGGTTTTACTCAGAGAGTTATGGGTGGCAGCTGCCCGGTGATGTAGCAGGACCCTCCCGTACCAGGACCAGGCTCTCAGGAGCACAGGCTAATGATGCTGACAGTGCCCGCTTCCCAGGCTGTGAGCTGCGAGCCGGGAGCCCCAGCTTCTCATCCAGCAAGTTTGTAAATGTGAACCAGCAGTGTCACTCTAGGCTGCTGGTACTGCACCATTTACATGAGGTTGAACAAGTAGCAAACTGTGTCTTTTCTTCTGTCCCCTTCTCTGGGAGGCTGTAGCCACTCCCCTTTCCCAAAAGCTTCCTCTAGCACTGAAGATGGACCTGGGAGAGAAGGAAATTCCAAGTGCCCACTTCCAGCTCTAGGAACCAGAGGACCCTTAAATGCCCAGGCCCCCCTG